GCCCTCAGGCCCCGCCCCTTTCTCCTGGCCTGAGGAAGGAGGGGCGGGGTTTACAAACTGCACCGCCCTCAGGCCCCGCCCCTTTCTCCTGACCTGAGGAAGGGGGGCGGGCAGGTCCGAGTCTGTCTGGGTTCATGATGGGACACCAGAACCACAGAACTGCTTCACCTCTGTAGTCCTCCTGGTCTGGGGTCCTGCAGGAGGACCAGGAGTCCACTGGTCTAAACAAGTTCTGGTTCTGACCCGGTTCCACAGACCCACACAGAGATTTGACTGATTCAGCATCTTTATATTTGTGCCAAAAACGGACCTGCTCCAGCAACTGTTAAAAACCAGAACCAGGTTCTGGGTCCAGTGGATCAGATGTAGCTGTGTGTTTTTTCTAAGTGTTCTGCAGCTGGTTTCACCAGGTTCTCCAACTGAGAACCCTCTGAACTTTTATAAACTGCGAAACTGACCAGAACCAGAACCTGATCCAGTCAGACGGTTCTGAGGTCCAGTAAAGAATCTGTTACTGTGTTTTATAAAAAGAAATGATGCTGCTGTTGTAGAGTTCTGTTCTCCAGATGTTCTCCAGACGTTCTCCAAACGTTCTGCAGACGTTCTCCAGATGTTCTCCAGACATTCTCCAGACGTTCTGCAGAACATTTCCAGACGTTCTCCAGATGTTCTCCAGACGTTCTCCAAACGTTCTGCAGACGTTCTCCAGATGTTCTCCAGACATTCTCCAGACGTTCTGCAGAACATTTCCAGACGTTCTCCAGATGTTCTCCAGACGTTCTCCAAACGTTCTGCAGACGTTCTCCAGATGTTCTCCAGACATTCTCCAGACGTTCTGCAGAACATCTCCAGACGTTCTCCAGATGTTCTGCAGACGTTCTCCAGACGATCTCCAGACATTCTCCAGACGTTCTGCAGAACATGTCCAGACGTTCTCCAGATGTTCTGCAGACGTTCTCCAGACGATCTCCAGACATTCTCCAGACGTTCTGCAGAACATCTCCAGACGTTCTCCAGACGTTCTGCAGACGTTCTGCAGACGTTCTCCTGTAAATGAAGCCCTCTGTAGTCCTGTCCTGTGGAAGCTGTGGTTCTAGCTGTAGGTTTTTGTTGGTGTTTCAGAAGTTGACTCCTCTGCACCCGTTCTCCTGCAGCCCCCTGTGAGCCCGGTGTGGGGGGGTGTAGAACAGTTTTGTGTTCTGGAGCTTGTTGTTGTTGTTGTTGTTGCTCGTTTGTTTTGTTTTTGTTCCAATAAACCTGATGGACTCAGATCTGTTTTTCATGATGCAACATGTTTACGTCTGTTTGTTTACATTGTTTAAAAAACATTAATCCTGGTTCTGGATCAGTTTGTGTTCCTGGCTGGGCGTCGGAGGGTTTTGTTTGTGTTCCAGTTTGTTGTTCTGCTTCCATAATCTAGAATTTACACATTTTTTAAATAAAATAAATTAAATAAAAAACTGTTAAAAGTTGAAATCTTCAGTCCAGGATGCAGAAAATCCAGCTTCTGTTCTGTTCTTCAGCAAATCTGTCATCTTCAAGTTCCTGTGACACGTTTGTCCTTCAAAAAGTCAGAAAACATCTATTCTTGTCTCATAACTGGCCTATTTTGAATTTGGCTCAAAGTGAAACAGGAAGTGACATCATAGGGGAACTCGTTAAAATAAACTGGTCTTTGTTTATTAAAACAAAATAATTTAAACATTACTTCATCTCTCTTTGATAGAAACTCAAAATAATCTTTAAAAAATCCATCAGATTCTTTACAGTTTGTTTTGTTAGCTTTAGTAACACCACTGTTTACATGCTGACATTCTCCTATGACATCACTTCCTGTTTCTTCACATGAAAATATCTCAACAACCGTTCGTCTCAGCGACGTGAAATTTGTTTTTCAATATTTTATTAATGTTACCAAAAATACATTCATGTTTATTACAAAAAATTGATATCACAGGCCCTTTAAATAATATTAATTAAAAAAAAATTAAATCCCTAAAGTTAAAATGTTTGGATCTAAACTGATATTTTAGATAATTTAGAAACCAGTTCAGGTCCAGACCAGACCCCTCAGAGTGGTGGTCTCTGAACATTTGACAGGTTTTAGTTTGTCGTCTACAGTCTGTCACTGATTTATAATCTTTATTCTGAACATTTCTGCAACAAAAATAAGTTTTTAATCCAAGGCTGAACATTTATAACCAAAACTAAAAAAGTAACATTTGATTCTTGAACAGAATTTATGTTTTTACAACAAAACGTCTTAAAATGCAACATTTTAAAGAATCTGTTTTGGTGCTGAGATATTCTGAAATGTTCAAAAATCTGATTTATTTTAGTTCTAGTTTCATTTAACAACAGAACTTTTCATACTGAATTTTTAAACTTGAGTTTTATTTCATAAATAAATGCTTAATCACCATGAAGACGTCATAAACATGACAGATTTACATAAAACGGCTAATTTTGATCTGTAGTTCTCATTGAATTTATGTTGATTGGTATCTTTTGAGTTGAATTTGAGTTTAATTTCAGTGTCATCGAATCAGATCTAAGATTTCTAATCAGATTCACTCTAAAGTTTTTACATATGAACAGACTTACACAAAATAAAATTTAGAGGTAAATGTAAGGGGGAAAATACATTACAAAATAATTCAAAATACATTTTTTACGGTTATCTGTGTTTTTTAGGCTCAAGTTAAAATCAACAAAATGTAACTTTAGATAATGAAAAATAGAATAAAATCACACAAACATGATTGTTTTGATTATTAAATTATATAAATAAGTAAATTATCTATAAATATATGAAATTACATGTAAATTACTATTTTAACAATTACAGTAATTTCATCTTTGTAAAAAAAATTATGTCCTGGTGATACATTTATTTTATTTAGTGTTTTTGCTTTATTCTTCTTCCTTTTTTTTAGTTATGTTGTGTTGAACGCAATTAAATAAATATAAACATACCATAACTAATCCTAACATACTTTTAAAAATAATTAAAGTTAATTTAATGTGATATTTTTCTTATAATTACTAAGGTTTTGTTGCAGTTTTCTTCCTGACCGTCAGGTGTCGCTGCAGCGCAGATTTACACTTTTCCCACAATGCACCTGTTCTCCTGGAGGATTACTTTACAAACCTTTAAAGCTTCTATGACAGAGGCTCGGATGATAAAACTTTACTGCTCTGTGTTTTATGTTTCTATAGACAGAATGAATGAAAGTTGAAACTTTGAGGAATATATTTTTAAACCCGTCGGTCAGAAAGGTTGAGCGGAGCTACAGAATGTCTCTGCGCCATGTTGAATTCTGATCCTTTCGGTTCATGCATGTGATGATTGGTGCGTTCACGGACCCTCCGTGAAAGGCGCTGCCCACTAACCTTGTTACGCTCAGCGCCTCAGCCCCTCTGATCATGAACTGAAAACACGTTTTTATTATTTAATGACAAATTTATCATTATGTTCAACTTTTACAAAGACTTTCACGGGCAAAATAAATGTTTGTAAAGTTACTCAGTCTAAAGTTATCACCATATTATGTTTTATTTAGGCTTTTATAAGTAAAAAAAGAACAGATTTATTTTTCAAAGTCATTTTTTCACCATATGATTCATACATTTATAAATGTCATAGTTTATAAACTAAATAT